AGGAAGGAAGGAAGGAAGGAAGGAAGGAAGGAAGGAAGGAAGGAAGGAAGGAAAAGATTGATTGATTTTTATGTTTAATAGGGATATGAGAAGCGATGAATGTATGGGTCAAAGGAAGAAAGATGTGTGTCACAGCATGAGAACACTGGCTGGAAGAAGGAAATTTTTACAACTGCCACAACAACAAAATGGGTACTGGACTTCACTAAATGACACCTACTTCCCCTTCAGAGTTGGGAAGGAAATTACTACGAGGAAGCATTATTGGTGTTCTTGCTTATGACTGCAAGGGCTTGATGATTAGCCATGTGCTTTAAGTTGGCCCTCAATGACAGGGCCACTTGTGACATCGCTTTATGACTAAAAATGGGGGCATTATTTTGCTGAGCTAAACACAACAGCTATTTGTCTAAATGTGCAGTGGAATTTCAGGGAGCTTTGCAAAGTTCTGTCTTCGTACAGAAATGTTGCCCATTTTGCTTTCTGTAGCCCCAAAGCTTTCTGTCCCTTAAATGTAACCTACAGTAGTGCTTACGTTCCTTATTAAACATCTGACAGAAAATAGCCCATGTGCTAGGAAGTAAGAAGTTTGCATCCCACAACTCTGCAGCAGATACTAGTAGGTATATGAGTTTGAAGCCAGCCTGGTCCACATAGCAAGTTGCAAACCAGTCAAGGCTACACAATGAGACCCTGTTTCAAAGTAAACAACAATAACAATAAACAGTTTGCAACCAGAAATCAGTTTTTCGTATTTATCACCCTACAACTGTTGACTCCTGTGAGAATTTCAAAGTTGTGAATTTGCATAACTATGATTATTGGTCTTCTAAATTCAGTTTACCCAGAAGCTGGAGAGTCACTTTCTAGTCACCAGCACTGCAATCTGAGCATTGTCCTTCCCCAGGATGCACAGATCCATCTCCTACTGGTGACATCTAGGGCTTGAAGGAAGTTCTTGTGACTGTCTTTTGAAGGTCATCATTTTAAGGACTAACCACAAATAGACCCCTTTGCATCACGTCCCCAAACCACCATGTTTAATGGGGATGAACTTGCCCGTTAGACCAGAGCAAAGGGCACTGTGGAAAAGTATGGTATGAATCTGAATATGGAACCAACCACTGGGTAGAAACTGTTGCGCTTGGGAGAGAGTTCAGAATACACAGAAGGTGCCCTGTGTGAAGTCTCTTGCCTTAGAGGCCTTATGTTCCAGCAAGTAAATTCTCCATTGAATTCATCCCATTTCAGATCACAAAGAAATGCAAATCAAAGTGCCTAAAGCTTAGAAGTTTCCTGGTGATACTGCCCCCTTGAGAAGCACAGTGCAACAACTGGAAGTCATTTTCTCTCTCCAAATGTATCCTCCAGATTTATGCATGTCAAGCTCTGCTCTGATAGCCCGAGAAACAGCATAGCATACCTGCTGCCGCACTAGCATCCAAAACTACAAACAAACATCGAAACACAAAAAGTCAAGAAGTCAGAACAACATCTTCCCCTCTGCGTACTAAGTGGGGTGTGGGCATCTGCCCAAGCCCCTAGGGAGACGCCTGGGTCACCCACTGAGCACAGCAAGGCCTCTCCAAGTTCAAGTTCAAGGCTGCCCGTGCTGTGGCTGCCAGTCATCACAGGGGTCAAGGAACCAGAACTGCTGATTTTTCCAGAAGCCTTCTCAAAGCAGCAGCAACCGCAGCAGTTTTCCTGCAAAGCAAACAAAATACCAATCTTGTTAATTCAGCAGGACTTTAAAATTGTAATTAGCTGGTTGTGCCCCTTAGGAAAACCACAGATGATTTTTCATAATGTATGTGTGTATGTGTGTGAGACAGAAAGAAAACGCCTGACAGATTCCACTGTTCACCAGGGCTGCTTGGTTTTTTTTTAAAGCCCCTGTGAGCATTTTAGCGCTGTTTGCAGTACTGAAGGACAAGGCCCTCTTTGTTTCCTCTGAAGCACAGCCACTCCAATGCTGTTGTCATCAGTTCACGGTCAACCTGATTTCAGCATCAAAGGGAGAATTTGGGCTAGGCAGGGGACACGGTCACCCAGTATTGGTTGGAGGGTGGTTCCACCGACCCTCTCACAAATGCCAGGATCCACAGATTGCAAAATCCCTTATATAAAGTAGCATAAAATTTGGTAAAACCCACATACAGCTTCTCATATGTCTAAAATCATGTCTAGGTGACTAATAACGCTAGAGATAGAGGGTTCGGTGAACAATTGTGTCCCTTTGTTTAGGAAACAATGACAAGTTCCCACTTTTTCCCTACAATGTCTTTCTCCAAATATTTCTACCTGCAGTTGAATGGATCCAAAGATAAAAGCCACACAAAGATAAGAGCAGATCACATTCCCACCTCTGATAGAGATTTGTACATGGTTGCTGCCCAGACTCATTTCTAAGCAACATCTCAATTTTTATACCTTATAGATGGGAGAAGACTCAGGTTGGGAATGATGGACAGAGAATCACCAGGCTACTTTTGTGTTTTATGGGAACCTACATCTCTTTCTTTTCCACAAGAATAATCTTTAACCACCAGATCTTTCAAAATATTCATCTCAAACTTAATTTCACTTATAAGATCTTACCACAAGCCTCACTCCTCAAGTGGTTTTTCTCAGTGTTGATACTTGCACACATACATACACACACATGAGTGCACACACACCACATTCCTTTTTCTTTTTGTGTGATGTAGAGAACTGAATCTAGACTTTCCACACACTGGGTGAGCACTATACCAACAGGCAGTAGCCCCAGCTCTCTTTCGTAATTTTAAAATCTGAGACAGGCTTTAGTAAATTGTCTGGTCTGACCTTGAACTCATTCTGTAGGCCAGGCAGGTCTGAAGTTTGCCATCCTGAGTTAATACTTTAAATTTAATTTTTAATTTAAATAGTGGCACCATGGTAGGTCCCATAAGCATTAAGCATGAGGCTGGATTCCATCCCTACAATTGAGACTAAAGAGAAAGGGAGCAACTAAGGAAGCAGGCGGATTATGTAGATCTGAAAACATTCTTCCTGACCTGCAAGGAGCCTCCAAGGCCAAAGGGGCTAGAGGAGCCCAGGAAAGGCAGGCAGGCAGGCAGCCCTCGACTATCAGGAAGCAAACCTGTCTGAGCTCAGCAATTCCAGCAGAGTGTACCCAGCTGTATGGTGTGACCCGCTCAGTGCTTCCGTTTCTGTTCCTACATGGGGCTGCACTGTCTTCCATCACACTGGGTTCAAAGTGACAGCTTTGGCATGGAAGGACGTTACCTCCTCCCACCGCCATTTCCTCTTCATTCTTTCCCCACAGACCCTGGCGACAGGCCCGCCTTGGAATGCAACCTCCTGTCACCCAGTGCACTCATTCCCACCAGGCCTCAAAAGTGACTCCAGTACTCTCTGTGGGAAGGTGGTTTGTGGCAAACCCTAGGGGTTTGTGGTGGCTGGGGACAAAGCTGCTTCTGAAGGAAAGGGTGGAGGAGAGGAGAGATGGGGATGGGCATTGCCTGCTTGCTTTGGGGCCCTGGGTATTCACAGCTCCCAGTGCAGGCTATGACTGAGTGCTTCACTTAGGCCCGGGGCTCCAGTGGACCTTAAAGCGATACCTTCCTCCACCTCCTCTCACTTTATTGCCCTTACAGTTTCTGACAAACAAGGATGATCTTGTAAACACAAAGTCCAAATCTTCTCCTTGACTGTTCATAGGTTTCTTAATAAATGACAGACTTTTAAACGACCCCGACGAAGGCTACGTGCTTTCTAAACCCTAGCTTGAGCCTTTGACTGTGATATACTGACTTTAGTCCCTCTCCATCTTATTCTCTAAAAGGCTCAAGGCCACTTAAAAGACTATATCCTGGCAGACAGACAAGCAGAAACCCCGGCCCAGAAAAATATAGATCAGAATGAAAGATTAAAACCAGTTAGAGCTGGAGTTTACAGCTCAAGGTTAGAGCGCTTGCTTAGCATACATAAGGCTCTGGATTCATCCCAGGCACCGCAAGATGAAAAGGGGGCTGGGGATGGGGTGGGGAGAAAGACCAGTTGCCCATTGCAAAAATGTAAGCCTTGTGCAGCTGTTAAAGTTCGCTGCAAGAATGACTGTGGACTTTCTGTCTAAGATTAGGGAAGTATCCCTTTCTAAAGGCTAAAAGTTGCGATTTCTAAGTCTCTCTTGGTTGTTGCCTTGCTGTTCTGTCTTTTCTAGAACATGCCTTGAAGTTACTATTGATATAAAAGAAGGCATGCCCCCCAAACTGTCCCTTAACAATCCAATAAAACTGAGCATGGGACAGAGGAGCCATACCTGACTTTGTGTTTTTGGGGGTCAGAGAGCACAACCCTGGTCAGAGGCAGCTGCTATGTGGGGAAATGCAGACTTTAGCTTCTAGAATAGCAGAGTATCTCACCCCACTGTTTTTAGGTAAAGTCTGAACAGCCTCGGGTGAACTACTTCATTCTCTCAGGTATCACAACTATAAGGGTACCCTGAGACAATTTCTGTGCAAATTCTGGAGCCAACTGTGCTAAGAAATCTCAGGTCTCTGCCTGTGTGTATCTCAATGGGGCTACTCAGCAAGCTGGGGCAATGGACTACCTACAGTTCACACAATACCTACAATCCACTTCCTCCCCCAGGACCTGGTAAAGCTGGAAAGAAGAAAACACAGTAATTTGATTGGAGCCTTCTCCTACCCACCAGCCCTAACACTGCCTGTGTCTCTCAATACCTGTGCAAGAAACACCCAGCTTCTCTCTCCTACCCCATTCACGTAAGCAATACACAGATACCACTCAGCAAACAGTCCCAAGACCAGAGGAGTACATTTTCATGATGACTGGAATCTAGTTTTCCTGGGGTACAATCCCAGTTATTCCCAAACAAATGTAACTTTATTTGTTCCCATGGGAGGAGGTGGGGGAAACTTGAGACCAACCTTCGGAATAGGCTTGCTCCTCAAGTTATTTGGTCGTGAGGTTCTGTGCACCAGAGTTAGAGTTCTTCTAGGGAAACAGAAACGTTGGAGGAAGGATTAGAACAGCTTTTCATCAGTTTCTGACTTACAATAGCAGAGCATGTGAGGAACTGATAATTTGCTATTGGGTTCGTGGTGACCTTCCAGAGACATCCAAGAGGGTAAAATTGTCAGCAACCTTCTGATAGACACACCTGGTCCTCACTCCGCGATGACATCCTGTGATCGGTTCCCTTTCTTCCACTGAAACCAGGGTCAATCCACTTACTCCCTCACTGAATTTAATTTGCAAATGTATGTTTGTTCAAAGCCCACTTTGCCAAAGCAAAAGAGCTAGTACTCATTGTTGTGGGAGTAACTTCCGCTGCCTCAACCAATAGTCGCTGAAATACGAGCCCACAGTGCAGCGGGGAGCGACTTCCGCTCCGTCAGCCAATAGCTGCTGAAATACCAGCCCACTGGGGCGTGGTATATTTCTCTTTTAAAAAGAGAAACAGATCCGGATCAGGCTCTCTTGGTTCCGGTGCTCGGTCCCGGCTCCTGCTCCTGGCTCCTGCTCCCGGATCCTGCTCCAGCGACTAGGCTCCCTTCCTGACGGTTTATGGTGTATGTAAGTTTTACCCCCAAAATAAATAACCCCTTAAAACATAACTGGTGTGGGATTGATTCGCCGATAACTCATGACACTGGGGCTAGGACAACTAAAGGGACGGCTGCTTCTGTGTAAGATCCGTGGAGTAGATGGAGGGACATTAAGGGATGGGGGAAGGTTTAAGAAGACAGCCAAGGTCTCAGTTGGGGTTCTACAGCCATTGTAAAGGAGGTGGCATTGGGCATCAGCCTTAGTTAACAGGATGCTACGCCATAAAGAGTGACAGGGACAAGACTGGATTTAGAATGTATTCGAATAGCCGTGTCTGCTGGTGTGCTGCTTTGGTGTGAACAGCAGAAGGAGTATGAAGAGTCTGTGAATGGGTATGGTTATGACATAGTTTGGATTTTAACTGCCCTTCCCCCAGGCCCATGTGCTAAATAAAAGCTTAGTCTCCAGCCCGTAGTGCTACTTGGGGGTGTTGGTATATCTTAAAGATCACTGGGGTCATAACTTTGAGGGAAGTGATAGGACCCTAGCCTGTTCTGTTTGTCTTTTCCTGGCCACAGAGTGAACCCTTTTGGACTACATCTCCACAGGAGCAATACTAATGAGATTATAATTGCGATGTAAAATAAGAAAACTTAGCACAAGAACTTCATCATGTTGTATGTTTGTTATAGTGATGGAAAGACGACTAATAGAGATGTTGGGAATAAAGAAATCCTTTGATAGTAAGAACAGCAGTGGGTATTAGCCTGTGGTCTGTTTTCGTGCACTGGGGGGAAGAACAGGCACAAAGTGAGTAGATCTGAGAAGAGGAAGAAGGGGAGAAGGAACTTTTGTTCCAGGAGAGAAGAAGCCACACCATGCTTGCTCACGTTTCTTTCTTCTGGCTCCAGAACACTGAGGAATTTCATAAGAATGCCTACTGAGATCTGCTAATCAGAGGGCTGTCTCTGATGCGGATGTGTTGTGTGTGGTTGGGGACGGAAGACAGAACAGAATCACTGTGTGGCATTTTAAGCCTAGACAGAAGGCAGAGAACTTCTAGGCCTTAACTTCTAGGAGAGAAATAACATGCTTCTTAAAAGAAAATGGGCAGTTCAACTGATCAAAAGCTAATTAATAGCTTTCAAACATAAAACAATTAAAAGAGATAAATAAGAAAATCCAAAGTATTTTGAAATAAATCTTAGGCCAAATGGCAGTTTTCGATCAGAATTAACATTTTGACACAATGTAAATTCTTATTTCAGAGAACATACAGGAACCAGATTGCTTCAAAAGCAAATATGCAAAAATTAAGTCTCAACAGGTTTAATATCCCTAATCCAAAAATCTGAAATTTGAAAGGCTTCAAAATCTAAAACTGTTTGAGTTCCAACAATATGATTCTATAAGTAGAAAAGTGCACACCTGACTTCATGTGCTAATAGCCCAAATGCAGGTGCACTAAACACACTGCACACAACCTCCTGAAGACGGTACACATAGGATATACATGAAACAAGGGAATTCCATGCCAAGACTGGGTCCCATGCTTAAGATATCTCATCGTACACATGCAAATATTTCAAAATCTGAAGAGATCTAACATCTGACATACTTAAGGTCCCAAGCATTGTAGATAAGGGATGATCAACCTGTATTTTATTGAAAAATAAAAAGTACTGGTTTCATTTAGGCACCCAGGAACACCAAACACATATAGTAATAGAGCGGGTCTAGAAACAAGCTCCAAGCCTCTTCCCATTCATCAGGAGCGTGGTAAAGCTCCACGCTCCAGCACTTCCTGACCCCACCACAGTGTTCTCATCTACACAGTGGCAATAGTAATAATGCCAGGTTAATGAGGTCAGCATGAGGGTTACATGTATTAATCTTCGTAAAGCAGTTAGAGTCAGCTCCATGTCAGTATGACTTTCATAACAACTAGATGCATACACAGCGAGTTTAAAAACTATTTTCTTGTGATATCTACTTGCTCCAGGTGTCACCAGTTGAGTGGGACAGCGAAAAGGTGATTTTTGTAGTTGTGGCCACATGATTTAAAATATTTTTAAACACTTCCTAGCCTGTATAATGTCATTAATTCCTTGCTGTGGTTTCTATATTGTCCAGACATGTCAAAGTGTATTTAGACTCCTGGTTAAAAATACATTGGTGGAAAATGGGCTCAGAATAAGTTGGTCACCCTAATAAGCAGTTTATGCAGTCTGGGTGAGGTACTGGCTAGGTAATAAGTCTATTTTTATTTGCCATCAGTACCAATTATCAAGGAAAGGTATATTCAGACACAAATAAAACTCAGTACTGATGCTGAATTTAGATGTAGATTTAATTTCAATAAAAACCGGCTGTGGAAGAAGTGAGAATCTGCAGCAGTCCTTCCAAGGTTTGCTGGTCAGAGAGAAGTTCTCTTCCAAACCCCAGGAGTGTGGACGGTGAAGGGAAGAGCAGGAGCAAAGGGGAGTGTGGGGAGGATGTATAGTCCCAGGCCTGGAATCAGCCGACCAGCCAATGTACCCATTGGAGACATCCATATAAGTTAGAGCTCTGGAGGTGGGCTGTTCATCAACTCCACGCTCACCTATCCCAGATATGCCTAAGCGTTAAGTAAGGCTACTGAATGTGGTGCATCTGCCTTTGCGTTATCTCGAAAACTCATGGTTATTTGGCAGGAAAAAGCATATGAGGCACTGTAGCAATTCCAGGAGCAGGTCTCCAGGGCCAGGGCAACGTGGGATGAAGACAGCTGGAGAGATTCCTAATGCAATTAGAACACACAAGGTGCAGAACTTGGAGAAGAACGAAATAGGAGGCGGGTAGGCTTATACCAAGTTGAGTATTAGTCGAGCTGGTGCCCAGAGGAGAATAAAGTACACAAGGTGAACAGAGAATTTAGAATTGTGAATGTTGTTTTAGGGAGGGAATTCTCCTAAATGTATATTAGCATATCTCCTCCAAACTGTTTTTATATCCCAGGCTGTGTATCTGTGTAAGTGGGAGAGTTTGTGGTGCAACACACTTTTCAACAGATACAATGACTCCTTAGTGCTAAAGGCAGTCTAAGAAACATATATAAAATATAATATTATTATCTCAATCAAAACACCCTAAGCAACTTATTTCTAGCACAGATTTGAAATTGTGAGCAAACACATGGGAAATCTCACTTAAGGCTGAGCTGAACTACAGAATCTGATGAAATAGGCAAATGAAAAGCAAAGAGAAAACAGGAAACACGGTCACCTGGGCCAGTCTGGAGTGGAGTCTGTGGTCTGACAGCCAGGGGTGCTTGAGAGCTTCGCTGGCGCTTATTCTCCAGCTAGAGGGAAATTCAGAAGCTTGTTAGAGGAACCCACTAAATGAGGCCTGCATCCGCAGTTTCTCTTTGCCTCTGGTCACAGGTTTTGGTAGAGTGTCTAACTCACATTCAAGCCTGTCTTCTGGAATTGTGCGATAGGAATGTCCAGAGGGGACTATCAGCTCTAACCACGGTAACAACATTGGTAATACAAACAGGACAAAAATCGAATTCTTATAAATAATTGAATTTTTTTCAATATAAGTAACTATTCTGTGATATGACATCTGAGCTTCCTAAGTTGAACTCTTAACAGAGAAATAAATGCACATTTTTTAATTATAGGAATAAAATGCTCCCGTAATTCTCAATGAATAGAGAAGCAGTATGCATGGGAAGTCTTTTGACTATGTCTGCTAACTTTTGAATGAAGGAGTTTTGATGAGTTTATCACAGGAGTATCCAGGAGTTAAAAACACACGCAATACATACACACAGTTCAAAGTAAACACAGAGTTTTTCATCTTCCAAAGTTTGAAAAGTTGGCATTTTTCCATCTCTACATTGTCGAGGATCCATAAACGTAAAATAATAACAATATTGGCTGTTATTTTGCTTAGAAGTCAAGGACAAACAAATTAACTCCATAGATTGACCTTCCTCTCAGACTGATGCTATCATTTGGCCGCCTCTCCTCATCCTTCAGAGCAGTGGTTCTCAACTGCAACCCCTTCAGCAAATCATATCTCTAAATTTATTTACATTACAATTTGTAACAGTAGCAACATTACAGTTATGAAGCAGCAGTGAAAATAATTTTATGGTTGAGGTCACTGCAACATGAGGACCTGTATAAAGGGGCACAGCATGAGGAAGGTTGAGAACCACTGCTTGAGGGACTAGAATCTGGCCCCATTGTCTTATGAACTGGTTTGTATCATTTCTTTCTAAAAAAGACCTATCGTGCCAGACATGATGGTGCATTGCCTTTAGATCTCAGCACATGAGAGATAGATGCAGGCAGATAGATCTTTATGGGTTTGAGGCCAAGCTGGTGTACTGAGCTCCAGGCCAGTTGTGACCTATTTCCTAGGGATAGATGGCCGGCTAACTGCTCAAGTGGAAGAATCCCCCACCTACCACCATTACCTACCACCATTACCTGTTACCTACAGTATTTCTCCTGCTCTCCATAATTCCTCTTTCCTATTCCTCACAGTCTTATTTATTAGTGGGCCTAAGTGCTACAGGGACAATAAAGCAGCTGCCATCGGCTCTGAAGATCTTAAATGTGACATACTGTCACACAGTTCGGATATAAAACCATCTACAGAGGCTGCTCAAAGTGCTCTTCTTACTCCATGAATCTAAAATCAAGCCCCTATATTTTAATATCATGCATGTTCATCCAATAAAATTTAAATTAATGTGTTTGTAGCATGAGAGGAAAATATAAGGCTATCTGACAGCCTAGAGCGTAAGCTTGGAGGAAGACCAACTCTGTTTAGTGTCCTTTCGGTCTCTTCCTAGCAATGTTGTTAGCAATAGGCTAACAATATACGGCCACATCATAAAGTGGTCATAAGAGAAACTTCTCCCTCTGGGAATTAAGAGCTTTGATGAAAAGAAATGATGTTCAGAGAAAAGATGACACTGTCTGGCCCATAAATGTTCATAGACTTGATAGGGATTGAGGGCAGGTCATCCGAGATCAACCAGACTGCTGGAACTTCATTACAAAAGTCACAAAAAAAAACAAACAAACAAATTTTTCAGTCCCATTCAACCTCATGACTGAAACAGCCCTAGGCTTTAGTAGATTGGGTCAAGGATTCACACATTCACACCTCATTGCATTCAGAGTCTGCACAGGCATCACGGATGTTAGGGAGGGGATGGGATCTACTAACTCCATGGTGCACACTGCTCCTAGTCATCCCTAGTCCTCCTACGACGCGAGATGAACTTGGTTTACCTCTTCTCCTTAATGAGGAGCTTAGAGATGAACTCCCTGGCCTCCTCGGAGATGTCCTGAAATTCTTCATCTTCTAAATCCCACCTGCACGCCAGGATATTGGTCAGCGTCTCTGCGTCATTATCTCCCAAAAAAGGGGACAGGCCACTGAGTCTACAAGACACAGAATTGAGGGTGAGGACTGTTTAAACAGTTTTGTATGTTTTATAGACAGAATACATTTTAGTTTGGCCATTTAAAAATGAAAACAGGAAAATATTGATAAGCCGTAAGTATATAATACATCACTGCTGTTGTGGGAGTAACTTCCGCTGCCTCAATCAATAGTCACTGAAATACGAGCCCACAGTGCAGCGGGGAGCGACTTCCGCTCCGTCAGCCAATAGCTGCTGAAATACCAGCGCACTGGGGTGTGGTATATTTCTCTTTTAAAAAGAGAAGCAGATCCGGATCAGACTCTCTTGGTTCCGGCTCTTGGTTCCGGTGCTTGGTCCCGGCTCCTGCTCCCGGCTCCTGCTCCAGCGACTAGGCTCCCTTCCTGACGGTTTATGGTGTATGTAAGTTTTACCCCCCAAAATAAATAACCCCTTAAAACATAACTGGTGTGGGATTGATTCGCCGATACACTGCAGCCAGGAACATGTCTGTGTCTCCCATTCCAAATCCTAATTAAGCAAGTGCAGCCCTGAAGGTTGTAGCTGTACCTGAATAAAGCTCAAGTAATATAATAAATTTTCCTTTCAAGTATTTTACAGCTGGCAAGACAAGGTACTGCCACATACTCAGAAAGCAAACCCCAGAGGTCATTGCTAAGGTGCAATCCAAGCAGATCAATGCACACTGATCCAAAGAGATCAATATTTAAGATCTAAAACAAGACAAAACAAAACAAAAACTATATTTAGGACTCTTAGCTGGTATCCTGGGACTCAAAGTGACCTGTGGAGAAGACATGTATATCTCTTTTTTTAAAAAGATTATAGTAGGGAAAGGGATTGACTCCTTCCATTTAGAAGACTAACATAACCTAAGCAATGGGAGATGGCACTGTGTTATTCTAGAAGAACATTATTGTTATTCTAGAAGTCAAGGCTTTCATCCCAGTGAAACCTCCTCGAATGCTCACAGGCTAAGGATGAGTGTATGAACAACTGGAGAGCTGCTTACAGCATGTATGTGATGACACCCACACTCCACATATCCGTAGGAAAGGAAACAAAATCATAGTTCACAACTTCAGGGGCAAGAAATTCTGGGGTTCCAAAGTTCACCTTCAGTTTCTCTCTGGGTTTGTATCTGAAATTGAGGGAACAAAGTGGTAGGGTTAGACATGTCAGTCAAATATCAAAACTACTGAACATCGAAAACAGCACCATCTATAAGGCAAAACTAACTTCAATTATGCAGCAAACAAAGAAATAAATATACTTCTGCCGGAAATTAGATAACCATGCTGGTGTCAAAAAACTGATTAACATTTCAGGGGTTCAAAAGTAAAAACAAATCCTATAAAACCTTAATATTCTGAAACAGTTGTAAGAAAGCCATTCTAAATAACTGGAACATTTGAACAAGGTTGTGACAGTACCTAATTCAGTTCATCCCATGCACATGGCCAGGACAAACCCTTCCAAACTGCCAAATGCTGGAGTAATTCATGGCTTCCATTTTCTGTGCGTTAATGTGCTGAGCTGTTCATGTGCCTATGTAAATTATTTGCTTCCCTAAGAAATCAGAGCCCGCTATGTCTTGCTCAAACTACTAACACTTTTAAAGTAAATTCCCCCTTTATAAATGAAACAAATATAAAATTAGGATAAACATAGATTCTAAATTAATACATTGTAAGTTAACAAGCTTTAATGGACTAGGTTTTCACTTCTCATTTTTATTATATGCATTACAGAAACTTCTCAATGCTTAAATCTCAAATCTAGCAGGGTTAGGGTAAAATTAATTTTTCTTAAGTTAATTCTAGATGAAGGCATGAGATCTGGGGCACAGCAGATAGTCTTTGCGAAGAATGAATTTGCCTCCCACCCCCTACCTCTATCCCTGAACTTACATCCAAACAGACATACCTTCTGGCCAATCCAAAATCAATAATTTTTATTTGCTTAGCATCCCGATTCACACACAGGATGTTCTCAGGCTGCCAGGAGAAAGAGACACATTAGCAATGAAAACAACCATCTTTCACTCAAATTGTCCTTGAACCACAACTAAAAATACAAGATACTCAGGAAAAACATATCAGGCCTTTTACTCGGGGGCTGGTTTGTCTGTGTGGGTATTTTCTCCTTTAATTATGTGGTGGGTGAGGTTGTGGGTAGCCTGCCAACCTTGCATTACCCTGCCTGTCCCTCTTCACGGTTTTACAGATTGCCATAATGCATGAGTTCAGGCAGGGGCCTGCTAGAGGAGAGAAAGAGAGTGGAGGCTGTTCCAGCATTTTCCAAGTGGGCTGGTGGAGGCCAGTTCAGAACTGACAGAGCCTTTCTCTTGTTAAAGTATTAAGTATATTTCCTTCTTGGAGGAATATTTCCCCCAAGATTTACGAGTTCCAAGAGAAATGGCCTGATTCACTTAAAGAACCATGCTGAATATGCAATATAATGCGAACATTTTTGACCTCTGGATTTTTCCCTTGTGCTTTGTCTATGGGAAAGTCGCATGCTAAAGGAAAGCTTTTGTCTCCTGCTCATTCTTCATCTCCAGAATTCCAAGGTTTTGCTGAGCTCGGTCTCAGTGCTTAAAGTCCTTGACTAAGTGTTCCCTTGGAGTTAGATGCTAGTCAAACTTGGCCCTGCTAATCTGACAGGCTTGGGGGAGGGGACGGAATCAAGCTACATCGCTACTACCCGGTATCCCTGGGATGTCCTGTTGATGTAGCTATATTTATTGGGATAGAAAACCTTAAGTCTGGGAAAAATAAGTAATTTCATTTAAAGCCAAGGTTATCCATTAAGAAAAAAAAAAGAAATACTATTTTCAAAGAAGAGCCAAGAACTCTTAAATTCTAATTTCAACTCCACTAAGAGCTGGGCATACAAAATTGCCAGGTACCCAGGGTTCCATCTCCATCCTTTACATGGGTCACACCCCCTTCCACATCCTGTCTGGTGGAAAGGTCCAAGTGAGGCAGAAACCCAGACACACTTTGTGAAATGATGTAGTGTCTCCATAGCAACGTCTAACTGCCCAGTTCACTGAGTGTAATATCTTTGGAAGCTCTTCCCTAAAATGTCTCTAAAACAGATGTCTGAGAGTGAAAGCCATTTTACACAGAGGTGGGTGCTCACAAGGGTAGATTGAAGTCGTGCTTAAATAATGGCTTGAACAAATAAAAGCTGTCCTATTATCAAAGAATACCATGGTATCCTGAAAATTCTTTGGCAGAATATAAAGGAACATCTTTGAGGGCACTTCAAAAAAAAATAATTTCTATGATACTAAAACTTGCAATGACCGTCATCTCAGATAAGATTTTCAGAAAATAAAATTTCAAAGGAGAATCCTTTTAAGTCACCCCTTGATTCCCTGAAGTGATGCACGCTCAATCCCATCAGTCTTTTCCTTCCAAGGAACTCTCTAAAGAAACCTGCTCCTTCGTGACTCATCCCGCTGTCACCTGTGTTGTTAACTTTCTATATAAGCCATAACCAAAACTGCCCACTGTAAGTCTTCAATCAATGTTACAAAGCCACAGATGGAGTCATTTGACTTATGATAGGTCAGCTCCTCGCTCCAGCTGCCAATCAAATCCCTTTAGGGTTATTTGTGGAATATCCACGGTGAACAAAAGTACTCCTTGGACACACACATTATCATACTCAGCTCGTGGCCAAGGACTTTGCTAATGATTTTTAACCTCTGACTTTGTCATTTTATGTACCACTTCCCCCCCCTTCCTCCTCCTGCGCAACTGTGAGTGGGAAAGGCAAGGCGCATAAATCAAGACCCGTGAGGGAAGCCAAGTTGTAGGAAGAGAGGCCCACGGAAACCTATTTAAGGAGGCCAGATTTATTCAGCTGTACCTCCCCTGGAGACTTACAATATATGGTATGTTACATAAAATACACAATTTATCTCACTGTCATGCTGTGAAAACAGAGAAATGAGAAAATGATCAAGCCACACAAGAAGATGCACTCTGTGATACTAACTCTGACGTAGACTGGACCAGGCTTATTAGGGCTCAGCCTTTAGTTGATTTTATCTAAAGTGATGTGCAATCCAGTTCTGGAGACTTCATAATGAGCGAGAGATAAAGAGGAGGAAGGAGATGGACTGGCTTCCCTCTTGGTTTCTGATTTGTGAACAACGGCCCTCGCTTCTCTTCGGCATCGCAGCCCCACCCTCTAGCTGCCCTGCATTTCATTCTCCACAGCCTCTACTCGGTGTTTTAGCAAATCCATAGGACAGTAAATCCCAAACCAGAGTTTCCTAGAAGAATTCAAGAGGCTACTGGGGAATTCTTAAGATCTGAAACGGTAGCTACAACTTGGGAATCGAAGACTAAAATACTCCCACCATGTACTCTGATAGTAAGGAGATGGCAGAAATATTGTGATGCTGGTTTTAATTCTACACTTTTAGGGAAATGACCGCCTGTGTTGATTTAATAAAGTTAATTTATAATAATCTCAACAAGGGACTCTAAAGATGGGCATACGAATATTAGTCCCCAAAAGTGGTGACAGTTGTAAATGGGATAAAAATCCTGATTTTGTCAGGTGGTGTGACGTGAGTCTGTCCCGTCAGCTAGGGAGGCTGGATTTGATAAGATAGCTTGAACTCAGAAGTTCATGACTAGACTAGGTGAAGAAGTAAGACACTGCTCAAAAAACACACAAACAAAAAGAGAAAGGAAAAAATTCAGATTTTTGTTAATTCCTGAAAACATGACCAGAGAAAACACACCTTTCCAAGGCTGGTACATAATATTTCACATGGGGGAAGAACTAAGCGGACCTTGCACTTCACAGGATGAGAAATATGCCACAGTACCTTGAGATCCAAGTGGAGGATGTACATCTGGTGCATGTACCTTATCCCCTCACAGATCTGCTTCATGAACAGGATGGTGTCCAGCTCTGTCAAGTTGCAGTTTTCATCAATGATGCGATCGAACAGCTCCCCACCCTCCACACTGCAGAGGGAACAGGTGGAACTTTGAGTCCTGACTCTGTGAACACCACATGTGTGCCTTGTGTGAAGTCGCTGCCCAAGTGCCTGTAGCTCTTGCAAGAGGTGTGTGTGTGTGTGTACAGTTATTTCCTTGCCATTTTCACTGTATGGGTTACATGATACTTCTATGGATACCTTCAGTATACCTTTGTCTATACCTTCAACGGCACACAACTAAAGTCTCAAAGTCCCTGTCACCAGTAGCTACACTGTAGCTGAGTTCATGTATGTCACATAACAGATACTGGGGATTAAGAAAACTCCAGGAGACACTGAGGTGGGATTCCAGTGTTATCAGGAAATGAGTCAAGGTCTTCACCTTTTGAGGTCTTAGATTAAGAGTATTGGCAATGTATTTCTATGTGACTGGATTAAGAGCAATGGCAAAGTGTTTCTATGTGGCTGATGCTAGATACAGTTGCTTTCCAAAAGCCTTATATAACATGGCAAACAAACCAACTTTCAGTGTCTGTTCAGTATTAAAACTACTTAAGTTTTGCGGTGGGTGTGCTGGTATAGTACTTTGTAGGACTTTGGATGTAAAGAAGGGCATCATGCATGCTAGGCAGGCACTCTATCACCTGAGCTGATCGAGTCTTTGCAGAAGGGATTCTGAAATGGAACTGTTTAGTATCAGGGGCTTGGCGTGTGCTTTGTGTTCTTGAATGCTTAACCACCCTTTCTCTCCAGCTTCATTCTGTTAGGTTTTAGAGACTCATGGTGACCTGTGATTACTATAGCACAAGATATCCTGAGATAGAGACTGTGTTCACATAATTTTTGTTTGATATATTGTAATTGTTTTGTTTTACCACAAGCTGTTAACTTATAAGTTAATTTTTACCATGGGTATTTAAGTACCTGTTGGCTCAGTACCATTCCCAATTTCAGTCATCCATTAACGGTTTTAGAACATACCCCCAAGGTAAGAGAAATCACTGTGGAAGGAAAAAAGGTTCACAAGCCACTTTTCCTTTTGGTTGCATAAGATAAAACCCAACCTTGGTTTGGGACAACAGAGCTTAGATACAAGCTGCATCTATTTTGTCCTGCTGCATCTGATCAGTGAGTCACACTGGGAGACTGCACTTGGAAACAGTTTCCCTTCTGACTCTGGCGGCAAGATCTCCTGTCTCCTGCAACTCAGATCCAACAGTGCACTGTCCATGGCTCCGGCTGAGTCACGAGTGCTGGGCAGAAGGTGTGTGGCAGCAGATGGAGGGGAGAGGATACCTACTACTCCATGACGAGGATGATGTCATGCTTGGACTCAAAGGCATCATAGAGCTGAATGAGGTTCACGTGGTCCAGCTGGTTCATGATGCTAATCTCATTCTTCACGTCCTCCTGAGGAGAAGGAAAGAGTGAATTAGTGTGGTGGAGACTGGCCCAGAGGGAGAGGAGACACAACTCCCGGCGCCTTTACCTTGTCCTTTGCACTTCTGATCTTAATGATTTTAGCAGCCAGCTTCAGGCCCGTTGCTTTCTCTTCACACTTGTGAACCTGGCCAAAACGCCCCCTGCCAAACAACAGACGGTTCAGTGAGGCACTGTAGTCTGCAGGGCCCCGTTTCGGTCCCTACCAGGTGGACAGTATGCGTTCCCAGCCATTTGTCTCTTGAGTGAACACACTTGCAAATATGTCTCGGTATCTGAAGCAGCACTGGCCAAGGGGAGTTCTAAGGGTCACCTATATCCCCCCAGGAAGCTGCGCTTGTCTTTAGTCTTCCACGTCAGAAGCATTGCCCATCACAAATCTCTGCTACATAAAGGGAAAGCCCTGAAAAATCTTATGTCTTGAATTATATTTGTGTCTGTCATCTTGACCTAAATCCTAGAAGTTAATTTGTCTCAGCAGTATGCTAATACTTATTCCTGTTTGGGGCAGAGAATTTGGTCAGTGTCCCCTGTAGGTGTATACAAAGTTTCACTTTTGAATTAAGGACAGCGGTTAAAGCAGAATAATAACTAAGTTGCATTCATACATTATGGTGTTGAAGCAATTGATTAATTTTAAGTCATACTTCATTTTTGAAGGTAATTTTGATCTATTTGGTCTAATATGAAAATGAAATTTTTGAGGTGGAATAATTAAACTTGAAAATTTTAATCAAGGTTTTTTTCTGTGAAAATGGTTGATTTTAGAATTTGAATTGCTAATGTATCTCTGTACATTTTACTTAGATAAGTATTTGATAGTCTTATCCTGTGTTTAAATGTTATATATTTAGCATAGACTTCGGTGGGGGTGGGGAGAATCCAGTTTCCTGGACCCTGTATCTGTCCTATGCAGGCAGGAAGGTGAGGTCCCAGATTTGTAGGCATAGGAAATCTTGAAAACCACTTTTGTCGATAGCACAGAATCTTTCTGAATGCATATGAATGTAGAAAATTGGGATTTGTAAGCATAAGAACAATATAGCCTGTGAGTCAGGAATATGAAAGAAATCATTCTAGAAACTGCATTTTGATAAAATAAAGACAATATTGCACACAGACACATAAAATCAAAAGTATGTATTGTGTCCAAAGAGACCTAATGAAGACATTCAGGTTATCTGGGATACCAGATTAATACTGATAAGACAGCTGCTTCTATGGATCTGGTTTAAGTGTGTCCCTACAGGTTCAAGTGGTGAGAACTGAGTCATCAAGGCAGAGGTGGTGTTGACAGTAGTGTAGAATTGATATAGCTCTTATGGGGCCCTACTTAGTTCTCAAGAAAGAGTAGTTTAAAAGGAAACCTTATCACTTCTCTCTCTCTCTCTCTCTCTCTCTCTTCTCCCTTTCTGTCTCTGTCTCCTCCCTTCTTCTCCCTCCCCTTTTTCTCTCCCTCTCCATGATGTCATTCGCTATGATGAGATACAGCAAAAGGATCCTTCACCGCAACCAAGCGGATGAGGGTACCATGCTCCTGACTCCAGGACTATAGACTAACTTAGCCAGTGTCCAGTATACTGTATCCATTCTCTGTATTTCAGTAAAATAGAAACCAGAATACTAAAGCTCCTCGTGCAATCATACTCAGAAGTGCACAAACAGAAGCAACTTGGTTTGCTTCTCTTGATGCTTATTTAATAAAGTGAGGCAGGACAGGGGTCTCTGCTCTGTGCATTGGTGGCTATCATGGCAGAAGTGACAGGGAAGGTCCCACAACAACACAGTAAACCAGAAAAAGACCACGTTCCCATTGCCTGCAGAGATGAGTGTGACCGGGCTTGATCTGTGCAGGAAGAGTGATAGCCCAACCACCACGGGAGTAGTGGATCCAGGAGAATTACTCTGCGTTACTATAAACATATGTAAGCGGCTACTTCAGTTCCAACATTCTAGAGGCCATCTATGCCGGAACACAAGAACATAGCCCCAAGTACTTCTCATGTCCTCGTGATTAAGAAAATGCCTTTTAACTGACCCGAGATAATGGGAGCTCACTCACTCTGGACTGACACCTGGAGACCCTGCATAGGACCAAACTAGGCCCTCTGAATGAGGGTGACAGTTCTGTGACTTGGGCAGTCTGTGGGGCCACTGGCAGTGTGATCAGAATTTATCCCTAGTGCATGAACTGACCTTTTGGAGCCTGTTCCTTATGGAGGAATACCTTGCTCAACCTTGATACAGGGGGGAGGGGCTTAGGCCTGCCTCAACTTTATCTGCCAGACTTTGTTGACTCCCCATGGGAGGCTTGCCCTTTCTGAGGAGTGAATAGGGGTAAAGGGTAGGGGTGAAGGGGGGGGCAGGAGGAGGGGAGAGAGGGATAACTGCGTTGGTATTGTAAAATAAAAAAAAAAAACCTTTTAACTAAAAAAGAAGAAAGAAAATGTCTTTCCCCTCATCAGCACTAATCTTAGAACTGTCTGATTCCAGTGTTGTCTCCATGCGGAGGCTCTCACGTGACTTTTTCTGGAAGGACCTTGACCCTGAGGCCATCTCCTAGGGTTCATGCTGGAACACCAGTCTGCTAGTCTCATGCTAGCTGAACACAAACACAAGGTATTGTGTTCATCAGATTTCCATTGTGTGAATGGAATACATAGAATAACCTAAGAGAAACAAGGTTTGCTTTAACTGTGTTTTCAGAAGGTTCGGCCTACGGTCCAGGCCCTGTGGCTTTGGGCCTGTAGCAGCACAGCGGAGCAGGGATGGTGGCAGAAGAGCTGCTCACTTCATGGAAGCTGGGAAGCAAAGGGTGGAAGAGGAAGGGAAGCCACTGAGGTGCCATTACTCCCTCCAAGAACATCCTCCTCGCGACCTAATTTCATTCAGCTCTGCTCTGCCTCCTAAAGGCTCCACCACCTCCCAATAATGCCACCTAGTAGCTGAGCTTTTAAACACACTGGGAGAGACTTTTAACCCCAATGGGGAGACTGATATATAAACACCCTAATGCCCCAGAGCAGGAGATGAACCTAGGAAAATTGCCAAGAATTCTGTGGTATTGACCTGTTTCAATTTCTCCTCCAAGTAAAAGATAAACGGCTACATAATAAATCCTTACCACTAACAGGCAGCATGGACTTGGTGCACATTTCACTGGCTCTGCTAACCTATGTTTTTTTCCGGTACAATATGGCCACCAATGTTGAGGTGAGCCCACAACAAGCAATGACCGACCTCAAATCCTACTGTGCCCAAAGAGGCAGATGAGAACTTCAAAAGGAGCCACTGACAAACCCCAAAGCAGCACAAACCCTTGGAATTATTTCAAAGTTCAGGGGTTTCTACATGGCAGAGGGCGAAGGACTGTGGAATGGTAAGGAGAGGACACAACTTTACAGAATTAACTGGTCACCCCTTAATATCCTGAGGAAACCACACTGAGGTATCACGCATATCCTCCATGTGTTAATTGTGTATATGGTGCAATTTGCTGCTTTCCTTCTATTTTACAAAAAAAAAACAAAAACAAAAAAACGTGCGATGGTAGTGAATTTTGTTACGTAGGCTTTGAGTTACAGGAAGTCATTGGGAGATTGTGAATGAAGTGGGGGGGTCCCCCAGTGTAACCCTGACCCTGATGACCTCTACTCTTCCTTCTTTAGGAGACAGTGTGCACTTTGATGACACTCAGTTGAGTTCTTCCATAAGGAAAGCAATCAGCTAAAATGGTAATCACATGGAAGCTCTAACCGCAGAATAGGAAAACCAGCTAGATTGAGAGAAAGATGAACTCCAGGCCACTGGAAATAGGATACATTCCTATTTCTTCTCCTAAGGGCTAAACCTGGGTTTGGACAGTTCCTGGACCTTCTTCTGGTGACTCATGTTGGGTTTTTTTTCCTACTCTCAGACATTATGACAGGATAAATAAAACAGAAGCTAAATAGGAAATATAGCTACCACGTCAACCATCCGGGACAAGTGACGATTTTCAAAAATGGTTAAAATCTCTTAAACTGTTTGCTTTTAGGTCTGCAGTTCTCAAGTCAAGACCAGCAACATTTCCGCCATCTTGGGCTCTGCCTTGGAGAGACTGTCTGCTTTTACTGAGTTGTTGTTTAAACTGGGCCTCGCTCACCCTCCTAGGATCTCAGACTTGCTCACGGCGTACAGACTGTCCACGGCAGCGTGTTTGGCCATTACGATCCGGTGATCAAATGGGGCTGCAGGAGCGGGGGCATCATCTGTAAGGTGAGAAGGAAAGGGCTGTCCGTCAAGGAGTCTGACCTTTCAGCAGTGAGCATCACGTCTCCTAGTGAAAGTCAGCTCATGTAAAACTAAAACACCATCAGCCACCTATCTTATCCCTAATGACCCTGGAATACAAATTTCCATTTCACATATGAATGGTCTGTAACTTATGAATATCTTATCAAGTATCTTTGGGAAATAAAGTCATTCACAAACTCTTTAGGGTGATTTTTTAGAAAATGAAGGACGGTAAACAAATCTGCAATCCCAGGACAAACACTTCTGGGGCTGGAGCAGAAAAGCGCTTTCCTAGCATGGACGAGATCTTTGGTTTGATCTCCAGCGTGACTTTGCTTTTAATGCTTTCAAGCCTGAAACCATTTTACATTTGACCCTGAGAAATTAATGGATTCATCTTTTTGGAAAATGCTCCTGTGTAATTCATGTTTTAATTAAAGCAGAGAGGGAGAAATGGAGAAAGATGAAGTATTTTCTTGTGTCACTGAAATATTTGATACTGTATACTGCTTTCTAAGATGGCGTAGGCTTTATTTCACAGGCATTTAAAGCATAGAGATGAATTTTTCCTGGCTGAATGGAAATAAAACCCCCAATGAAACCACATAAGTTATATGCTACAGCTATCCTGTTTCTCCCACTTTCCACCTTCCATCTGATATATTTAAGTGATTGTACACATCAGCATGAAGCCTGATTCCCTTCAATTCCCATCATTGTTGCTGTGCATGACTTTGCTCTTCTCCAGTTCCTTATTAAAACAGCTAGTGCACACAGACAGCAAGGGTACAAAGGGGGGAACAGTTACGTTCTTTAGTCTATATATTTATTCATTTATTGTTTTTTGTTTTTTGAGACAATGCTCTCTGTGTAACCTTGGCTACCCTGAAACTGACTCTGTAGATCAGGCTGGCTCAAACTCAGATCTGCCTGCCTCTGCCTCCTGAGTGCTGGGATTAAAGGTGTAAACCACTTCCACTACCCTGTTCCTAAACAGCTCTGTTCTTTAAACTTGGTATTTATCCAATATATATTTCCTAATCACTTGGCTTGTTCTAGGTATACTATAGAATAGTAATATTAATTTTGTTTAATTAATTTAACATTCTTTTATTCAGATAGCACAACTCTCTTGGAATCTAATTTGATATAAACATTCACCTCTCATGCCATGAATATACTCTGAAATAAAATCAGGAGAGAATTCCTCAGGAAGCATTCACTGCTTCAGATTTTGTTCGGGCTGGGAAGACATCTCTATGGGTAAAAGTGCTATGTGTACAAGTCTAAAGACATCTGTTAGAATCCCAAAGAGCCATGTAAAAAGCCTACCACTGTGCCTGTAACCCTAAGTTGATGGCCACCAGCCTAGCTCCAGTCTCAAAGGAATATGGTGGAAATGATAGAGCAGGACACTTGGTTTCCTCCTCTGGCCTCCATAAATGTACAGGTGCACACCGAGCACACATGTTTATAGGCACACACACACACACACACACACACACACCTTAGACACATAAATACATAGATGATAGATAGATAGATAGATAGATAGATAGATAGATAGATAGATAGATAGACAGATAGAGTCAGACAGATGACAAACACAGACAGACAGACAGGCCTGTTTCTTTTGCCTGCACACAGAGTGTTCAAGTTAAACACACTAATATATAATAACAGAGCATATGTTTCTTTAGAACTTTTAGGATAGGGGAAATTCAGTTGAAATGCTTGCTGTGGATAGTTAGGAAACTTTAAAAAGCTTCTCCTACCGAGTGGGACCTCTGAGGCTTGCTCTCTTGGATGGATGCTCATTCCCTCCTGGGGTCTGTCATCGGGGCTCCAGGCTTGTCTGGCTTCCTCTGTCCTGACCGTGGGCTCCTCCCCCACTCTCACTGCATCTATTCTGCTCTTCTTCTTGTCCTCGCTGAGGAAACATTCCTCTGACACTCTGCGCTTGCTGCTGCCGGCAGACTCTGTCTGTTCAGCATTCTGGAAAGTGGATCCTGATGCCGAATTTCCCAGGATTCCTGGTGTAGAAATGGCCTTTATATTACTGATGCACCTGGAAAATAAAACTCATTTGCAGCTCTCAATGTTTCAAGAAAAAAAAATCCCAGATTGTCAAAACTCTTAGAACTGAAACTTAATTAGGTTGGTATTTGGGGAAGGCGATGTGCTTTGTGACACAGAGGTGACCAGTTCAGCAGTTGAGGACACCAAATCTAAATAGATTGCCAGATACAGAGAGTCTTCCAAGGACAACAAAAACCTTATGAAACACTGGTCATTATTGAAGTCCATCATGACAAGATTTGCTCAGAAAGACCAGCAGCTGCCAGAACATGTCAATTAAGCCATTTCTTCCACCAATAACGGTTCTTTTGTGGCCATCAATCTTTAGAGAGATCACTGCTTCTTTTTTATAACTTTTCTCTTCTATTGCTAGCTTTCATAAATGGCTACTTTTGGACTCACAGTGTTTCATATATAAAAATTATATTTCTTCAAGACTAATTTCAAATGCATTATATCAAAGCTAAGTAACAACTGTGCCTTAAACAAATACAATACTTAGAGCAGCTAATTCTAATTAGAAACAAAAATTCCTGAATTTGTATAAGACGCTTCTTAATTTTAATTTTAAGGAAAAAGCTTAATCAATTATCTATCTCCTACAATACTAGGGAAGAAACAACCAGTGAATTGTTTCTATAATGGATTAGGTCAATTATTTCTGATTTGGGTTTTTAATTTACAACTCAACATAATCATCATTTAATTCTTAGCCTTAGAAAAGATATGCTTTTGACTGCTAAGCAGCAGAACTTTTTACTTGTTCTTTATAGGGTATTGATTACTGACGATATCAAAATTTGTGATCTTAGTGTTAGTGTAAGACTTAGAAACAATCAAATGGGGATCAGGGAGGAAGCACAGACTTAGCTTGAAAAAGTAGAGGGAAGCAGGGAAAGGAGGAAGGTAGAAAGGAATTAATTAAGAGGGGGAGGGAGGGGCAGAGGGAGAGTAGAAATAGGGAGGGAGGGAGACAGGGAGGAAATAACTAAAAATAATGGTAGAAAGAAAGAGGAAAAACAGAATAATAGGAAAATATAGCCATGAAAAATCAATATAAGAGAGGAGCGTATCTTAAACAGTGCCTTTAAAACCATCTTCATTTTTCCTTCAAAGTGACATCAAACACCACAGCACAAGGCCTGTGAGAGAGCCCACCTGTGGACGTGGGATACTGGGACAGTACCTTTCAGAGGATGGGCCACCATTCATCCCGTCCACGTGCTGATTCCCAGTTGAACGTTGGTCCAGCACTGTTTCACTTGCCACTGTTGAAACTGTGTTCTCAGCTTCTGTTCCTCTGCTATCTTCCTTAGGAGGAAGCCCCTGCTTCCCTCCTTTGAAAAACGGACATCCACTTTTATCCTCAGGGTCTTGGTTGTCTCCCCGGAGGTTGCTTTCTTGTCTCTCCAGACTTGCTGTGCATGCGCCATCTTTTCCATCTGCATTCTCTCTTAGTTCCATGGAATTCCTTGAAACAAAATCTACCTTGTCTTGTCTTTTCTGATGACATATGACATAGCTCCTCTGGATTTCAGAGGACTTGGTCTTCTCAGCATTTTTCTTGTTGAGTTCGGTAACCTTCTCTTTCTCGGAGGAGACTAGGTTTTTCTGGTCAGGTTTCTCTAAGAAGTCACAGGACACAAAACACTTTAATGAAGAATTCCCAGGACCATTTTAATTTTGGCTTCATTTAATGGCAGCTCTAGTCTGGCTTCTTTTTAACAGCAGATTTAAGTTTTCGAAAACAAAGCAGAATGAAACACGCCCCACTGACTGAAAACTGTGTGTCAAGCGTATTTCTTATTTGTCACTGGTAAATCCAAAGCCAATCAGATAAAAACATATTAATAAAGCAGCATTCCTCCCCAAGGAATTTAGGAATGTGTGCTTTCCTCCGAGTAAGAGTAACAGCAGAACTCTCTCCATAACCACTGAGTCTCCTAAGGATATTACCTGTGAGAGCTGATGATTTTCCACTGGTGACAATTGTCCTTTCATTCAGTGCAGGGTTGGACCACACGTTTTCCTCAGCCTGTGGGTGGAAAATCAAGTCATTCAGATTACCTACAGTGCACACACTGCTTGGCCTCAGCACTAGTGACGCAGGCTGTGCAGTTCTTCACGTAAAGTGCATCACTGCATGACAGGATGTCTAGTGTCACACACCTGGCCTCGCCCCACCAGTCCCAGGAGAACCCTGCCTTCCAGCTGCGACGACCACAAAAATGACTCCAGACATTCAAATTTTAATTTCTCAATTATTTTTCCAGTGCATGATACATTACTACTGACTATCTTTTCCCTGCTATGCAAAATAAAAATCCCCCCCATTCTTGTCTATCTGGAATGTTACTAATTAAAAATAATATTAATAAAGCAAAATGTCTCCAATGATTACTAAATTTTCTCAGAAGTAAGGGGAAACATTGTTCCAAGTTGATACTACTATATTATACAATTCAAACATGGGGAAATACACAAAAATTGGCAGTCATGTAAAGTGGAAAACAGTCAGAATCAGTGAAACTCTGTATACATAGCAGTATCAAATAAAATGAGCTCACTATTTTCAAACAAATTCTGTCCTGGTGCGTAGAAGGAAGCCCACCTTCAGGATCTCATTAAAGGCTATGTGTACTGTGTAAGCTGCCCTTGATCTCCATTTCAGTTGTTTGGATTTGGCTCACCTATCAATTGAACTCCAATCAGAGAACACGTGTGAATGAGTTTCCTAAACTACCTGGAGATGAAGGCCATGAGCTTCTTAACAACTGGCTTTTTCTTTCCTTAGAAGATACCTTTCTCCCAAGCAGTCACATGTTCTCACAGTCCTAGCTTCCCCAGACTAGAATAGCAAACCCTTCCACACACTGTGAAAGGTGAAGATTAGCCTAATCCACACAAATTCTGAGTTCAACAGTGTGAATTGATGCGCTCATAGGAAGCCACAGAAGATCAGTCCCTCCATTCTTCAGAGCAGAACACAGTTTGCCCAAGGGGGTTTGCAAATATGAAATATCACATAGCACAGACTGTAGGGATGAAGACACATTGCAAATACACTTATAATTCAGAATTCTTCTTTTTTCCAGATGGGCACCTCACCACACAGAGGCACATTTAATACATCTGTAGAAAGCCAAGGTTGGAGATCGCAGCTATAGAAAGCCTCTCACTTTTTCGCACAAGTACAGAGGTAGTAATAAAAATTGTCCTTAAATTTCCTTAGGCAAGTCCAGTGGTGTAGTGGTATATTATTTGTATTTTGATAAATAATTCTTGCCTGAAGACAAGAGTCAAAGCTAAGCCACTAGAGGTCAGGCAGTGTCGGCACACACCTTTAATCCCAGAATTTGGGAGACAGAGGCAGATGGAACTTTGTGAGTTCAAGGCCACCGTGGGCCACACAAGATCAAAACAGAAAGAAATCCAGGTCGTGGGGGCTCGCATCTTTAATCCCAGAACTAGAGGGAATATAAAATGAGAGGCTTAGGCTGCTTAGTTTTGTGGTTACCCAGCCTTGATAGAGGTAAGATTTCTCTAGTGACTTGGCTGCTTTGTTTGGTTTTTGGGTTGAACCCTAACTTCTGTCTATGGGTTTTTATTATTCATGCTACACAGTTGCTACTTCTGTCTGTGGGCCCAAAACTTGGCACTTATGCCAATACCCGTGTCCCTTGTAACACTTCAGTGAACTGTTATTGCCAGTCTGTTTCTTCTAGGTGTTGGGTTTGTGAAGGTCATGGTGCTTAGACTAGAGACATCACATGGTAATAATGATGATGGTGATGACAATGAAGAAGATGATGATGGTAGTGTGGTCATGATAATGAGATGCAAATGGGAAAGACAGTGATGGCTAACATGTGCTGAGCACAGCCGAGTCTACTAGAAACTCTTCGGTGCACTTTGCATGGTCAGCTCCCTTTGCGAGGAGCTGACTACCAACCTCATTTATAGAATGAAGTCAGGATTCTAATTCATTTCTCTATTTGGTTTGCTCTCTAAGTGGCAGCATAATCTGTACTGTTTTTCCTGGTGTAGGAAGGGATTTTAGACAACCTGGAGAGTAATTCTGATTGGGATCTAACTACAGAATAGGCACCATAAAATAAGAAGAGCAAGAGCAGGGGGCATACAATAAAAACATTAACAGAGAAAGGCAGATAAAAGACTAGAATTAACACGGAAGAGGGGAGAAAGAGATCATTCCATTCTAATTCTGAGAAATCTATATCAAGCTAGTCAAATAAGACGGTTAAGCAAATTGTGTTGATGGCATTTTATATGACTCTTGGTAATTTCTCTTCTGAAATGAGAAAGTCTGGGGTATCGGTAGGCACCAGGCTTTGGGATTTGTCCTGTGTGGCACAGACATTATAGTAGACCGAAGCGACCTGAGAATGATCAAACCTGGTGTGTGCTCATTTATTTCAACCCATCAGAATATGTAAAGGTTTGCTATAAAACTCTGTGGAACCAGTCAGGCCACAAGTATCCAGTGGCAAGTGTGAGCGTGAGATGCCCACACTCTTCAGGCAGAGCCTGGCCTGGCCGAGCGTAAGAACTGTCAGCGCTGAAGATACAGGAGCCAGTCACTAAGCAGGGCTGTTCTTCCTTGGTGTAATTATGCGACGCACATTTTACCGCTTAAATAATGCAAGGCCTCCATTCATCGCCACAGGCTATTTAGTTTCATTTCCCTATGTAATACTGACATCTAGAGGAGCTGAAGTGTCTCTGATGAACAGAAGTAGTGTTTCTCCTTTCCTTTCCCTGCCTAGCAACCCTGTGGGCCTTTATTCGGAAGCCTTTCCACTTTGTCTTTTGGGTCCTCGGGAGGAGTTTCTTAAACAGGACACTGGTCTATGGATGCATTTTACCTGTCGTCCAAAAATGACATTTGTTTCCTACGAATACAGAAGTCAGGATCAAAGCTGCTAAAGAAGGAATTCTTAAAACCATTCTCATCATCCTGCAAAGGGATGAATCAGGATTTTATGCTCCTATGCCGCATTCGCAGTTCTGATTGAGATGAATAAATGAATTCATTTCGTTCAGATTTGCCTATTCATTCATTTAGTAAATATGTATGTATTGGCGTATGGATACCTTTGCCAGTGCCTACCAATTTCTTTTATAACAATTCTTTATGAATTTGTATTTTATGTATTTTAAAATATATATTAACAAAATTGAGCAAACATAATTTTTCTGTTACTATAATAAATGTCGTTTCTAAAAAAATAGGCACACACATCATCAATGTACATAATTGATAATATTTTAGAGTGGGCTAACCTTTTACTGTTAACTGTGTAAAAATTAAATAGTTCTCAGAGACCCAGTTTTCTAGGCCTGCTGGTTAGAGTTTTTCAACTAACTCAAACTAATCACCTGGAGGAAGGAACCTCTACTGAGGAACTTAAATGCCTTGAGGGCATTTTCTTGATTAAGGATTGATGTGGGAGTGTCCAGCCTACTGTGGGCAATACCACCCCTGGGCAGGCGGTCCTGGGTTGTATAAGAAAGGAGGCAGAGCGAGCCATTGAGAGCAAGACAGTATGCAGTGTTCTTCCACACACAGTTCCTGCCCTGGCTTCCCTTGAGGAGCCAGCGCAATCAGGAAGTGTAAGACAAAAACAAACACACACATACACACACACACACACAAACCAACAAGCAAACAAAAAACCCTTTCTTCCCCAAGTCACATTTTAGTTGTATTGTTTACAACAGTAACAGAAAGCAAGCTAGGACACCAGGCAACGCTATTTCAGTACTGTTCTGATTTTTCTTAATTTTCAGTTTTGGAGGGAAAACCTGTTCTAATTAGCTGGTTCAAGGATAAGTACATATTGAGAACTCTCGGTTCATTTCTTACAAAGTGGGTTTCTCTTTCTACAGTCTACTCTCTCCATGAGGTTGCACGGATGCCTGCTTTCATTGCTCATCATATACTTTACACTCTTGTCTCCTCTCCAGTTTGACTTGCCAAAGGATCCGACCACGCACATTTGCGAGCACCTGCTGCCGGGGCATGAGTTCCTTTCTGTCCTGTATTTCAAACCCACTTCAGGGCCACATCCCAACTCTCCTGGAAGCAGTGAAATGACTGAATGGGAAATTAATTCATAAGTATAATTTTGCCTTCTCTCTCCTTCATACCCATTCAATAAAAATTATCCTTCAAAAATCAATTAAGAACTGGATTTAGCCTTAACAGTGACAGTAAAAGGGACACTTCCCTTGACTCCAACGATACTGTAGTCAGTGTTTGTGTCATCGGCCACCGTGTGACACATCTGTCCTCCAGCTGGTATGTGGAGCCTTCTCTCTGTTTTTGGTTCTCTAGCACAAGAACAGAAGAATTTAGGGCTCAAAAAAAAAAAAAACCACTGAGGAAAGCAATGTGCAATGAAGGGAGGGAGCGCCAGAAAAAATGATTCTGCCAATGTGGGGGTATTCTGCCATTCAGATTCACTCAGGGAAGCAAGGTTTCCTGAGGACCATCTCTGACGTGTCCCTGCTACAAAGTCGCATATCCTTTGCTTCACATTCAAACAAAATGTTACACTATAATCACATCCCTGCATTTGGGGGTTATGGCTGCTTCAGAACAGTAAATTCATAACATCACACATGGAACATAACCAAAACTGCACACTGAATAGTGGCTTTGTATCTTGTTGCTATGGCAATGCCAAAGTGACTTTCTGGTCACTTTAACCTAATGTTTAATAGTATAAAAACAAAATTATAATAATTTAAGATGATTTTGTTAAATTTTAACTAGGTTCTTGATGAGAGAGATGAGAATAAAAATTCCTGATAAGAGTACAAAGAGAAAGATTTTTAGAAGAAATAGTAAAAGTATTTACATCTCCCTATTTGAACGTATAAGATTAATCATAACATCTTATGTCTGTTTGTTTAGTGTGAGTGTGGCGGTACAGCAGAGCGTGGAGTTTATTCTCTCCTTCCACCAGGTGGGTGCTGCAACTGAGTATGGATCCCCAGACTGGGCAGCAA